ATATATATATATATATATATATATATATATATATATATATATATATATAAACAGGGCATTTTATGTGAGTTTTTTTGATGGAATGGCTGAGGTCTGATATTTAACTTTATCGCTAATATCAGCCGATATGATATACGTTGATAATATTGTGAATCCCTAGTAAATATCATGAGAAATGTATAACTATGTTATAGTGCACAAAATTATGTACCACTCCTTATAAATGTTCAATGTATGCTTTTTGGCTATGCGTGAGCACCTTCTTCATTCATCACCATTTGCCCTGACCACCTGTCCAATGGTTGAGATCGTGGGCTTTCAGGAGGGAGCATGAAGGCGCTAAAGACGCCAAAAGACAAGAAGTTTTTCATCATCCTTTAACCATGTAAACATACTCTGAAAGAGCTTCGAAACAAGACTGATCCATCCGTCAGTTAGCAAATGGCTTTTTAAAGCATTTTCACACAGTAATGCAAAGACTGCTGAATGTTAACGAAGAATGCTGTTGTTGTATAATCTGTAATTCAGCTTCTTGGTTTCAAAATCACAATTATTTTTTTTTTAAAAACTGGAAAGCTGGAGATATAAGAAAAAAAAAAACGAGTAACGAAAAAACCTGCTAGTAGAACTGCCATTTGACATTACTGCTCATCCTTTGTGAATGCTAACAACTGTGACTTTATGTAGAGAGAAAAAGAGGCTAGACAGTGTCAGGATTGGTGTATTTGTTGGTTGCTTGGAGATAGTTCTTTGAAATGTTCCCTTGTGAGTATGTTTTGTTTTTTGTAGCTTTGGATCCTGGGGTTTAGTTTTTTTGTTCTCATCATGTCTGTTTTTTGCCTGAGCCATGTCTCACTCCTCCTCAGTCAGCTTCCCCTGTATTATTCCAGTCTGCCTGCCACTCTCATCTGATCCCAGTGTGTAATTAGTTCAGACGTATCCGATACCCTATCAGCCTAGCTCTTTATATCCAGTCTCTTTCCATCCACCTCAGCAGTGCATTATTGGCCAGGTCTGGGTTTTCCTTGGCGTATTTCTAGTTACTCCTTGTGATCCTCGTTGAGGTTACAATGTAAGCTATGCTGCCACACCATCGTTTGATTTATGTTAAAGTGGTTTAGTTTTTCTTAGAGCTCTTACGACAGTCTGCATTTTGGGTCCAGAATCCTTCTACTGACAGACGGAAAGGGTAGTCAAACATCAGTTGAACTCATAATGCTACAGTATTCTTCATTCCTTTTTACATTTTTATTCAAGAGGATATTTTCTCTGTAGATATCCTATCATTTATGTTTTGCCTGTACTCATTTGATCCTGCTCAGGATCTCAAACAGCTGGTGCCTATCTTAAGTGGAGGAGGTGCACATCTTGGACGGACAACCATACATGCACACATTCCCATCTATGGCCAATTTCAGAGTAGACAATTATCTCAACATGCATATTTTTGGACTTTGGGAGGAAAGATGGAAAAGATATGTGAATTCACAAGGAGAACATGTCAACTCGTGGCAGAAAAGCACCAGTCAAGTTTCAAAAGCAGAACCTTCTTGTTGCATGGAAACAATGCTACCCAATTTTAGAACCATGCAGCAGTTTTGGACACCCTTACAGGTTTTTTTTCTTCTCTTTTCTGAATCGGCAAGAAGATAAAGTTTTTGCAGCTAATGTTGCCTGGGTTCAGCTCCCTAACGTCAATGACTGTATAACAATAATCCAAGCCCCCTATCCTTTTAAAGACATTTATAAAAATTACTTTTTTTACTAACACATTCATTTTCTATTGTTTTAGATAGTTTGCAAATAAATATAGTTTAGATATAAATAAATTCTGGTATAGCACTGAAATCACAGTTTGACACAAGAACTTTGTCCGAGTCTTGCTGGCTCAGCTGCTCAGCTGTCATTCTCCAAAAAAATAATCTATCATTTGAGCTTTATTGTATTTGGTTTGTGAGACTCTTCACAATAAATGTTAATTAAAAAAAATTTAAATTTTTTTTTTTACAATAAATGCAAAGCTTTTCACATGAAAAGTGAAAGCTTATTCAGCAGGCATATTGTTAAAATGAATTTGTTCATTCATAGTCAAGTGGTGCTACAGGTAATGGGCTCAGTCTGGCACTTTGCTTCTATTTAGGCTAAATAGCATTGTGAAACGTATGCCTAATTTATTATTTGTGTAGTTATTTTTGTTAAGTGCTTGTGTGTTTATTGGCAACATTTATTTTTGTCAGGATTTATTGTTTATTGTTAATTTTCAATAGATGATTTTAGAACGTTATAAATCCCAGCAGGATCAAAAATTGAAACTGGTAAAAATTAGCCCAATGCTAAATCTGGTGCAATGCATCAAATGCTTTTACCATCCATCCATCCATCCATTATCTTCCACTTGATCCAAAGTCGAGTCGCGGGGGGCAGCAGCTTGAGCAGGGAGGCCCAGACATCTCTTTCCACAGCCACCTCTTCCAGTTCTTCTGGGAGGACTCCAAGGCGTTCCCATGCTAACAGAGAGACATAGTCTCTCCAGCGTGTCCTGCTTCTTCCCCGAGGTCTCGTCCCAGTTGGATATGCCCGAAACACCTTCTTAGGGAGGTGCCCATGGAGCATCCTTACCAGATGCCCGAAACACCTCAACTGGCTCCTCTGGAAGTGGAAGAGCAGCTACTCTGAGTCTCTCCCAGATAACTGAACTTATCACCCTATGTAGAGTACAGCTACCCTGCGGAGGAAACTAATTTCAACTGCCTGTATCCACAATTGCCTTTTTTCGGTCACTACCCAGAGTTTGTGGCCATAGGAGAAGGTAGGAACATAGACTGATGGGTAAACAGAGTTTCGCATTAGAGCTGTACTCCCTCTTCACCACAGCGGACCAGTACAGATTCCAGAATACTGCAGACACAGCACCAGTCTGTCAATCT